TATAGCAATCGTTTGCCAATTAATTTACTATGAAAATACTTTCAAATTATTTTAGTATATCAATACATTTTAGATTATTTTACTATAGCAATATATTGTAAATTATTTTCCTTTGGAAAGATACTCATAATTTTTACTATAGCGATGCATTGTAAATTATTCCTCTATAAAAATACATTCAAATGATTTTACTATAGCAATACATTCAAATGATTTTGCTATAAAAATGCATTGTAAATTATTTAACTGCAGCAATGCATTGTAAATTATTTTCCTTTAGAAAAATATTGCTAATTTTTACTAGGGATTTTCGTTGTGAACTATTTTACTAAAGCAATACATTGCAAGTACAGTATAACCCGGATATAAGAGAGTTGTCGGGACCGGAGAAGAAGTCTCTTATATCCGGGTTTCTCTTATATCCGGGTTTGGTCTAATTTATATACATTAACACAGGCTCTAATTTGGGACCAGAGAAAATTTCTCTTATATCCGGGTTTCTCTTATATCCGGGTCTCTTATATCCGGGTTTCACTGTATAGTAAGACATTGCAAATTATTTTAGTATAGGATTACATTGTAAATTATTTTAGTATAGGATTACATTGTAAATTATTTTACTAAAGGGGTACTTTGTAAATCATATTAATAATAGATGTTTGTGTTAGCGTGGGTAGGATTTACTTAAAAGATATGTTTAAAGTTTCTCATTCACTATAACGCGTCCTTCTATGTGACAAGTTATTTTCCAAACGACAAATCTTTTCTCACAGACTAAACGTTTCAAGCCTGTTGCTGCTTTCTCACTATTCCTTTGGAAAGTGTTCAGGCGAATTACACTCCTCAGCTTTGGCAGCTTTTATCTTTACGGCTATCACTCGCCATGTTTATCGCATTGTAGCGAATCAGCCTCATTCGCTTCGTATTACCTCGTCAGACCAAGCGACAGCGTGTTGCGTGTATCTTACGACGGAAACCGTAGCAAAAAAGAAAGTTACTTGCCGAAAAAAAAAAAGGACACGTATTCTGCATGATATGCTGAAGATGAAATATTCAAATTAGAAACAAGTCAGTCACAGGAGTCGTTAGTTGTCGACGAATGAAAAAAATGCTCGTTCGATAAAAGCAGTTGGTGTTCTCGAATCGTGGGAGAAAATGACAAAATTCGTGTATTTAACTACCGCGGTCGTCGTCGTCGGTGAGTGAGTTATTTTTTTAACTGGTTACGTGCATTGTGATTTGTCACACAGTACATGCAAATCGAGATTTCGGCATTTTTTTATGTCCTTTATCTCCGATTCTGAACTTACAGTGATTTGTCCTCTTCGTTGTGAAAGTAATCTGCGATAAATATTTTCCTTTGTAATCCAAGAACTCTTACACATCGTATTCCAGAGATGAAATATAGTTTCCACGCGATCAGATTGTTCCCACGAACCGCTGTTCTGTTGAACAGACTCCCATGTTCTCCGATTACTATAATCTTAACCGATTCAAGTTTAGTGTTAACCGTTGTCTTTACCCACATATCCGCAAAAATTATGCTTCTTAATCTGTGACTCTCTACCTCGAGTGGCTCCCGGGCTTTGTACGATAGAAAATGTGGGAATTTATTTTAAAAATGCCTTTTCACTCGGATTTTTGGCAATTTGTTGGCAGATGAATGAAAACGCTAAAAGAGGTTAACGCCTACAGATGCTGATGCTCACGTCATTAAAACTGTGTTCCGTGCGGTTAATATGTGCAGCTTGAGAGAAACTGATGATCTCATTTCTGAGAGATTTCTCAGGCTTATTAAACCGAAGACGGAATTCTGTGACAGTTTCACTGATATAATTCCCTTCGTTACATTTGTTGCAGGCAAATTAAGCATATCATATTTAAACTCTCAAAGAAGGCGGTCAGATTATTGTATCTCTGCCAGGCGGAGTAAAACTACCTATAGGTGATAATACGATGTTATGAACTTTGCATCGTGGTTTATTCCCTAGATGATGGTTTAGACGATATAAGTTGTGATTTGGAGGTTGGTACTAAATGGGATTTTACTGAATATCTTATTAATTGTGGGATCAAGATTTAAGTAATGGAAATTATTTTGTAAAGTATGCTGTTTTTGAATGTTGTAACTAATATGAAACGTGGACACTGTTGGCAGATACAGAGAGAAGGATCCAAACGTTTCAGAACAAAAGCATGTGAAATCTCCTTAGCATTTACTCTTGGGAACAGAAAACCCATGGGTTTGTGCGGGAAAGGGTTGAAAGTTTTGTGGGACACCAGGAATCTCTTCTCTTCACTGTCGAACGGTCTGGACACGTTGAAAGGCACGACAGCCTGTGCAAGACCATCTTGCAAGGCGCCGTTGAAGGTGGACGTAGGAGAGGGCGCCAACGTAAAAAATTGGTTGGACAATGTGAACAAATAGACAGGTATCAGAATTGCTGTTGGTTGCCGTTAATATTAGGTTGGTGCAAAAATAATGACGTAATAATGTCGTTTTTCGACGTTAAAATTACGTCAAAAAACGACATTGTTACGTCATTATTTTTGCACCGACCTAATAGAACGTTAGGGGAAAGCGTTAGTGTGGTTTCTGCATTTGGATCCGCCCTAAGATTACTAAAGTCAAGGGGGGATGATGATGATGATGATGATGATGATGATGATATAAAAAGCATTAGGAATTCTCAAATTTGTTTTATTTGTTGTTCAGGCAAAAATAATATATCTTTTAAAAATAATATATGTTGAAGTGATCGATATTTTTAAAAGATTTCAGGGGATAATTTGTAGAGAAAGTATTTTTCTCATATTCTTCAGAGTCAGTGCAGATACGTTTTATACGTAAGGCCTGGCTTTCTTAAATTCATCATCATCATTCGACCGTAGTCGCGATCATCAAGCCAATGCCTACGTATGTAGAGTATGTGCTAAGTCAGGGCTACATACAGTTTTTGAATACAGAGTTACCTTCTTCTAGTCCGGTTTGCCACCCAAGGCTATAGAATCCGGACAGTCCTGCGATTTACCCATAGCGGGGTGGGAGCGGAGGGTTTAGAGAAGAAGAGGATTCTTAAATTTACCAAGTAAGTGAATGTAATGGAATTCGGACTCGGCTCTACGATTCTCCAGTCCGAGACAATATCCATTACTTTACCGTGCCTCGACCAAAAATAATCTCTCCGGTAGGGTTCGAACCTACATGCCCGTTTGTAAGATCCGCTGTGATTTAGACCTGTCAGCCACAGGCACCATCATTTCTTATATTAGTAAGGTGTTGTAAATGGTAAAATCAAAATAGAAATGACCATCTTTAGGTTGAACTGCATAGAGATGACGAAATATGACAGTATATATATATATATATATATATATATATATATATATATATATATATAGGTATTTATGTATAAGTATATATGTACATGTATATATATATATATATATATATATATATATATATCTGTATCTGTATATATATATATGTATATGTATGTATATGTATATATATGTATATATATATATATACATATATATATATATATATATATACATATATGTATATACATATATATATATATGTATATGTATATATGTGTATGTATATATATATATATATATATATATATATATTCTGTTCTATCTATATATATATATATTTATATATATATATAAAAGTAAAAAATTATCAGAAACTTTCTGTACAAAAACTACTGTATAGATTAAAATGAGGATTGGTAAAAAAAAGTAACCTAATATTTAATATAGTTTTATTTATTTATAATATATGAATTTTTACAGTGAAGAATTAAAACTGTTTTGTACTTACAAATGGATATTCAGCTTTTTTTTCTCAGAAAAATGATTTGTTGTTTTTCTTTTTTAAACTGTTTGTTTCGCTTAGCTTTTCAAAAAGCTCTCTCCGCGTGTTGATTCTTTTGTACCAAGGAAAAAATGAAAATCGAGGGACGTGACTAGCTATATTACGTCAGTCAAACCAGTAATTTCTTTATAATATGAAGCATCGTAAACGTAAAGGTGAAAGCTAAGTACAAAAAAAAAAAAAAAGAAAATAAAAAAATAGAGCGCTGAAAGTTTTTCTTAAACATAACGAGGTAAATAATTTGTTCACTGAAATCTAAATAATTTCCCTTCTCTTCTTCCGTAGAATAAATTATCCTCACGTAATCCGTCAATACGTCATTTATCACCTGTCAAGTGACGCGAAATGTTATGACCTACTTTGTTTTACTTACAAACTACACCTTTTCAGCACAGAAACTAAATAATGCTTGTTTCAAAATATTTTAAATAAACATTATAATTTCTGATTTTTTTAAAATAAGTTTTGAAAAAACTATAATTGATTTTTAAAAGAATTTCAAACTGAGATTTTCATTTTTTTATAAAATGGAAAAAATATGGTAAACATGATGGATTATCTGTCAATTTTGCTACTCAAAAGAAAGAAAAAAAACAAGATTTTTAACAAAAATTTCGGATGTGCTAGTAACGATTACAAAATGTAAAAAAATACCCCCAAAATACATTGATGTTTACTCTTAATAATAATATAAACATTTAGACGATAAAAGTTTGTTTTCATCAAGTTTGGCGTCTTTTTCATCATACTATGCTGTTTTTTAGCGTTTGGGAAGTGGTAAGGAATGTTTGCCCATCTCTTTATATCTGTGCTTGTATATGCTTAGACTTAGGAAGCTAATCTTCCAAGTTAGATTGTGTAACAAAGATTTCAAGACGTGAGGCGAAAAAATGTATTTTGAATAAAGTCGTGTATGTCAAAATTGTGCTTATATAATAAGCTCATGCGTATTCACTTCATGGAAAAGTCTATATTTTATTATTTGACTTAGAAGAGATTTTTTAGATCATGCTATTTACTATATATGATTTTTTCAACAAATATGAGAATAGCACACATAGAGTAGCAGATCATTCAAACAATTTGCATTGGGTTCACATGACACAACATTAAGTTAAAATCCGATATCTCAACATTAATCTATCTATCTATCTATCTATCTATCTATCTATCTATCTATCTATCTATCTCACTTAGTCTGTTTATATCTATCTATCTATCTATCTATCTATCTATCTATCTATCTATCTTATCTATTTATATCTATCTATCTTAGTCTGCTTGTATTATCTATCTATCTATCTATCTATCTATCTATCTATCTATCTATCTTAATCTGTTTATATCTATCTTAGTCTGTTTGTATCTATCTATCTATCTATCTATCTTAGTCTGTTTATATCTATCTATCTATCTATCTATCTATCTATCTATCTATCTATATATGTGTATGTGTGTGTGTGGTGTGTGTGTGTATGCATGTATGATTGTGCAACTCTGTGTACGTAAAATATATATATATATATATATATATATATATATGTGTGTGTGTGTGTGTGTGTGTGTGTGCGCACGCGCGTGTTTGTATCACTATTTTTATGTTTCCCGCTCATTTATAAGCCAATTTTTCCATATCTATTTATAAACCGGTATAGACGTTATAGACATATTGCTTCTGAATGAGTCTGTCGTTGTCATCGCTATTTACTAATGCTCATCAAAAAGCATTTCTCAGTCAAGAAAACGATGAGAGGTGGGTGTTGACATGTGGGTAGGCAAAGATTTCTCTTGTCTAGGCCACGAGATGGACGAATGTTTTACAGATCTAAAATTCAACAAGCTCGCCTCACATACCGTTACAGCTATCTCTTCATCTGGTGAGAAACAGATCTGGGTTTAGTAATTACCCAGATATTCGAATGTTCCGCGACGAGAAGATTTCATCAATCGTTGTCGCTTTAAAAAGATAATTGAAATGGAATAAATTCAGTCAATTATTTTCAGCTTTGAAGCGTCTTCTTCTGATATTTGTTTTTTAACCAAGTCAGAATCAAAAGAGATTTCCTTAAAGAATATCGTTTCAATGGTAACGTTTTCTCTTGCTTCCCGGCTGATGACCTATAACGACTTCAAAACGAGCTTTAACTTTCATATCTTCACATGAACTTCCGTTTCTTGAAATTTCAATTCGTTCTAAATTTGAACTTTCCTTGGAATCCCCCCAATTTGTCTATCTTTCACTGATCTTTTTTTACACCATAATGTATTATTTTTCGCGAGGATTTAACGATCTTTTAATCTGAACGAATAATCTTTCTTTTTTTTTTTTTAATAGAAATCTTTGAATTAGAATGTAAGCAAGTTTCTTTTTTCAAAATTCTTTTCTTTTTATTACTTAATAGAAGAAACAAAAAATAGTTTAATGAAAGATTCAATCTAGTTAGATTAACTCTTCATTTCGAACAAGAAAACATTTAAAATTACTTTTTATGTACACAGCAGTTAATTAAAAAGAAAATTAATTTGCTTTGTTTAAGTTATATATATATATATATATATATATATATATATATATATTAGGATATTACAATTTATTTATTTTAGAATATTACAACAAAAACATATAAGAATCACTACACAATTGCAGTCACGTTTCAACGCATAACGATGGGTTACCTCATACGAAACAAATACAGTACACTTTAAACGTTCGTAACATTTAATTCGTTTCGCCTGAGGAGACGCATCGTTATGCGTTGAAACACGATTGCAATTGTGTAGCGATTCTTACATGTTTTTGTTGTAATATTCTAAAATAAATAATATTGCTCTACTATGTATTGAGCCCTCTTTTAATTTAAATATTACGAACTTTGGAAGTGTACACTATTCGTTCTCACCGTACACACACACACACACACACACACACACACACACACACACATATATATATATATATATATATATATATATATATATATAATGAAATGGATTAAGTTCGAAAAAATATTTAATATATTTTCTGTTTATACCTTATTTTTATAGATACAATTTATTTAAGTAAATGCTCTGTTTTTAATTAAACAGTATTAATTACATTTACCGGCCTGGATGTTCGACAAATTCCGCAGAAAATATGCGTTCACCGACAAGAATCGAACCTGTATTCATAAATTTGATCTGACGTGCTATACCATTTAGCTACAGAGAAGCGTCTGGTTAGCAAAGTCCAAATTTAAATTTATAAACACTCAATCTTCGATGATTTTTCACGATCGATCATATCTGCTCACTAAATGTATCTTAACGTAAAATACAACTCCCGTCCTGGGTATGATGATAAACTACATCCGGCAGCAAGGCCTCTGGTCGGAGGGCTTTGAGAAACAAGCTATCGCCTCTTCACTGCTGATGTTACCAGAAACACCTTGACTTGGTTGGTAGCACCTATTATGTTCCTTGCTAACGGCAAATAGTTAACCCCCTAAACTGGGGTCAAAACTCTGTGAAAGTATAAAAATGCATTTTTATAGTAAATTTACCAGTAATACATTTTCATAGTAAAAATATACTAACAATGCATTTTTTAAAAGAAATTACTAATGCTCCCAAGAAAATTAAATTTTGACCTTAAATGACCCATAAAAATGAATTCCCGCCTTTTCCAAGGACATTTGTGCGAAAGAGAATGCAAAGATATGAACTGAATTTGAACTCGGTTCGTCAATTCTACTTTAGTAGACGATAACCATATTGCAACCCATTATTTCAATTGATATCATGTCATGGATAACAATGGAAGTAATAGCATTTTTGTTACAATTGTTTTGGAAATTAAAGCAGCCGGCAAAAGTGTGAATTGAACAGGTTTTAGTCATTTTCCACTCTGTCAAATAAGGCTGTAGGGTAGAGTTGAGATATTTCTGCACTAATTTACATCTAATTCAAGGCCCAAGAGTCACTCGAAATAGAGGGTTACTGAATGAAACGCGTGATATTCACGTAAAAGAAGGAATTGGAGATTATACGAGGGCATTGAGAATAGATAGATAGATAGATAGATGATAGATAGGTGTGAACAGGCTGAGATAGATAGATAGATAGATAGATAGATATGAACAGGATGAGATAGATAGATAGATATGAACAGGCTGAGATAGATAGATAGATAGATAGATATGAACAAGCTGAGATAGATAGATAGATAGATAGATAGATAGATAGATAGATAGATATGAACAGACTGAGATAGATAGATAGATAGATAGATAGATAGATAGATAGATAGATAGATATGAACAGGCTGAGATAGATAGATAGATAGATAGATAGATAGATAGATAGATAGATAGATAGATAACGATTGACTGGTTTGGTTTGGTTTGGTTTACGGTATGTCAACCTCAATGAGTTATTTGATACCGACAAGATTTTTATTGATGGTAATACATTTTTAAAAAATGTATTGCTGGTAATATTTTTTTTCCAAAAATATATTGTTTTTTTTACTGTTTCGTAGTGTTTTGATCCCAGTTTGGGGTTAGCAATTTGCCCATAGCTGGGACCATAATAGGTCAAGGTGGATCTGGGAATAACAGCAAATAAATGCCGAATGAAGCTTACCGTCATGCCCAGGACTGATAACGATTGACTGTAAACTTGAATTGTATAAAATTGTAGCATCTGTTTCAGAAAGTAGCGATTTTGAGGAAGAAATTGTCCGGGTGGAAATTCTTCTTTGACAATGGAACAAGCAAGAAATGTGGGTGACAGTATGAATGAGAATTTAGTGTGAAGCAGATGCCAAAGGTCTCAGAAACAATTAGAACGCGTTTATTGATTTAGCTTTCCTTCACAATAATTTTCAGCATGTTTCGAACAGATACAACAGATACAATAGGTACTAACATTGTATGCGAAAGAATAATCAGTACAATAGAGACACGCTAAGTTCATAGCAATTCTACTTCTTTTATGTGTCATGGTCCATAAGGACGTGAGATATCAGCTCTTATGTCGAATCAATTCTTCTCTAGGGAAGAGAATGCTGTACAATTACCTCACAGATGGAATAGACAGTTGCTGGATACTTATTGGAGATATCAAAATCAGGTAAATATCAAAATTTAAATGTCTGGGAAGTGTTTTAAGTGAGGATGGAAACAATGACACCAAAATCCGAAGGCAGATTGGAATAGCAAAAGATACCTTCCAAAAGCTGAACAAATATTGTAGAAACAAGAAAATATCATTAGAAAAGAAAAAAGTGCTGAACTGCTAGATAATATCGCTCCCCCTACGTGACAATGAATGCTGGGTAATTTATTTAGAAGGGAATTGGGACAACAGGGATGTGCTCTTTCTGAAGGATGCTGAGAATACCTTTGACAGAGTCAGTGAGCAACAGATAATAATTTCAGAAAAATAAGGAGAATCAGAAGGCGTTTAAATTTCTGGAACCCATAATGAAGGCTTAGAGATGTTGAAACTCACAGTATATATTGAAGAAAAGTAGGACAGATGAAAATAACGAGTAACCTTCCTAACGAGTTTGCGTAAATGGATGACAGAACAAAGAACTCGAGAGATACATTATTTACATTATTCGGACTATGGTCCTCATCTTTGTCGCCATATTTATTACAACGTTTCGTCTGATGTACGCTCCGGTCTTCTTCAGGTAGTTGGAATGTCGAACTGAACCCTTTATTTCACTCGCTAGGGTGGACTGTTCTAGTTCCACGTGCCATGTCTAATGGATGTCAGTAATCAGTTATCTCCTGTTAATTCCCCTCTCCAAGTTCTCCATCGCCTTAACCAGGTATTGAACTCACACTCTTTGGGTCCTGTCACTGGATCTAACAGGTGGGTGGGGTAAGGGAAGCAGGCTCTTGGGAGTCTGTTCCACAAAGAATGGGATTTTGGGAAGAAGCTCTCTGACTGTAACATTGTGGACTAATTGGCCATGATTAAATGTAATTGGCAGAACAAACAGAATTGACAAAGTTCGCAATAAACAATGAGAAAAAAAAGAAAAGAACGGAGAAAAATAATGTTGAGCAAACAATATATGTAAGGCAAAAGAACATTCTTAAGGCAAAGTAATAGCGATAAGGCAAAGCAACAGCAATAAGGTAAACATTTCTGAGAACGATGTTAACACACTAAAGGGATACAGATAAGCGAACGCAGCGTTCTGACTTCAGGTGTTAAAAAGAACAGAACTAAGTCGGATGAGATCAAGGTCTATTTTATTGGCTTGGAAGAAATCCCAGCATACATCTGCATGTTTCGTCTGTAGATTTTTATTGCATTATTTACATTATTCGGGCTGCATCCTCATCTTCATTACCATATTCACAACATTTCGGCCGTTTAGTGAATGGAATTTCGAATCGAACCCTTTATTTCGCTCATCGGGATAGATTGTTCCTGTTCCACGTGTCATGCCTCTTCTGGATGTCTTGGTTATATCCCTTTAACTCAACTCTCCAAGTTATTGCTTCACATGGCCCACTGGATATAGACGTTGGTTAGATCCAGTGACTAGACCCAAAGAGCTGTGAGTTCAATACCAAGCCACAGCATTGGTGAACTTTATCCGCAAGAGGTATGACAAGTGGAATTAGAACAGTCTATCTCAGTGGGCGAAATAAAGGGGTTAGATTCGAAATTCCAATAATTTGAAGAAGGTTGGAGTGCATAACGATCGGCACGTTGTGAATATGTCATTGAAGATTAGGATAACAGTCCGAATAATCTAAATAATGCAGGTAATGATAATACCTCATCTCAGAGATAGAAACTGTCATGATAATTTACTCACGCACGCATGGACTCCCCCAACTATAAACAGGAGCAGGTACTGCCTTTTGGAGAGG